GGAGCTGTCATTGCCCCCTCATGGGAGGTGCCACTTTGCCCCCTCAGTGGCGGCGGCGCCGCCCCGTCCCCTCCCTCTCACCGCCCTCTCCCCGCCGCTCTCCCGCAGACCGCCCGCTCCTGAGGGACAAGCGCCACGTGGAGGAGCTGCAGGAGCCGCTGCTGTGGATCCTGTACAAGCACTCGAAGCTGCAGCACCCGGGGGACCCGCAGCGCTTCGCGCGGCTCCTGGGGCGCCTCACGGAGCTGCGCTCGCTCCGCCACGCCCACGCGGGGGCGCTGCGCGCGCGGGACCCGCGCCTGGCCGCGCCCCTGCGCGACCTCTGGGACCTCCACTAGGCGGCGCCAACACCCGCCGGGGGGGGCGGGGGGGCTGCGCTGCCCTCGGGGGCCCGCGCGCGCCGCTTCCCGCCCTGCCCGCCCGCCCTGAGGGGCCGGCGGCGCCCGCGGCGATCTCCGTGCCGGACTCCGCGTCCGTGGGGGAAGAAAACCCGTTTAAATTGCCCTGAGTGCCGAGCGGGTGTCCGCGGTTAAGCCCCAGGCGAGCGCTCGGCTCCCCGGGGATGTGTCAGGTGAATGGCGCGGCCGCCCGGCTCGGGCCGTGCCGCTCTGGAGGTGGGGGGGGGCGAGGGGGCCTTTCCAGTGGGACACGGGGACAGTGCTCCGGCCGAGCAGAGCCCTGAACCAACTACACACAGCGTCCTATCCCTGGAAGTGTTCAAGGACAGGCTGGACGGGGCTCGGAGCAACCTGCAGTGGAAGGTGCCCCTGCCCATGGCATAGAATGGAACTGGATGATCTTCAAGGTCCCTTCCAACCCAAACCATTCTGGGATTCTATGTTGGCGTGGAAGCCCCTGCTCTGAGCTCGTTTCACTGCACTCTGCTAAGATTGGTGCTGGGGGGAACATCTTCTGTTTTAATTTCAAAGACTTCTGCTGTTATTCTCCGTCAGAACTGAAGGGAATTGTCTTCTTGAGCGTCTGCTCTGTGTTGGAACTGTACATCCCCGATGATAAATCCACGCTGGATGTGGGTAATTCAGCACAGTGAGCAGTGTCCCACTTGGCTGCCCACGCTGGCGTTCATGTCTTGCTCTCTCACCAGATCAAATGTGCTGTGAAAATATTCTGTCATCACACCGAGTTATGGGAATTCAACAAGTTATTTTTTTAACTTCGAGGCTCCTTATGAAATATGTTTGGATTCATATGTGATATTCTGACAGGAGATGAGTTATGCTATTTACAAGATGAACTTTTGTGGCTTAAAAACCGTGTGAAATGACATTTTCATGCTAAAACATAATCAGATGTGGTTTAGAACTACCCATGGGAGTAAAGAGAAAAAAAAATCAACAACTGGACTTTAAAGAAGTAATTTTTCTTTCTGAGTCCTTTACCATGCACCTGTGCACAAACAGACAACAGCTGATGGGTTCTTGGCATCAAAAGCTTCCGCTCTGGCCGCAGTCTATAAAGCAAACTACAAAAACTCAAGAGTTCGATAACCCACTGTGAAGTAAGAAGCAAATAAGAGAGTTCCAAAACCATTGCCAATACCTTGGGCTTTGAAAATTTTAAGCAGTTGATTTATTAATAAAAAATGCTATTTTCACATTAGCTGTACTTTTTTTTTTCCTTCTGGATTTTATAATCCTTCGTTACCAATCTACCATAAAGTAATTTGTGCAGGGGTTTGACAAATTCCCAGATGGTGATTTTAATTTGCCACTAGGTACCCCAAACTGTGATGAAATCACTGATTCAGATAAGACTAAAATAAGCAATTACCTTGCACATTCTTTAAATTTTTTTTAATATTTCGACAAGAGAAAACTCACATTTTGTATCTTACTTAAGCAGGAAGAATGTAATGAGAATTTGAAACTCCAGTACAGGGTAAGCACTTGCAGGCACTTCCAGGGACGTGTAGCTGTCCCTTGACGCTACTGAGAGTCATTTCCTAGTGGTGTTTACAAATCTGTGTTGTGTAAAGCTTCAAGAGCAGAGGGTGCAAAATGGAATGTGGAAAATAAGAACAAATCTGAAGAAATTAGGACTCACCCACAAATAACAGTGTTATTCCTACAACCTTTTTTGCCCCTGAATTATCGAAGTATTTAATTTGGTTTGCCTTGCTTCTAACCAGGAGTATCTTGGAGGGGAAGAGTTCCTGAGGAAAAACACCCTTCCCTATCCCTTCCTTACAGCCATTTTAATTTTTAATTGGAATCTGAGAGTGGCCTTGGGCTGTCACACCTGGGGCAGACTTTTACCTTCACCATTCTTATGATCCTGGGTTGGTATCATCATTCCTCATTGATAATATTGCAGAAAGCTTCTGGCTTGTCTTTGGTTTGTTGGTTGGTTGGGTTTTTTGTTTAATTTTGCCCTCAGCAGATTGTGTATCTCAGACTAACAGAAATATCCAGCACTTTCCAAAGAAATGAAACCGAATCCAAAGAGCTCTATCGTCCGAGCCAAACAGCAAATAGGATTATGGAGTATTTTCAGACCATAAATGGAGATTGCTGGCATATGATATGCAACAAAGAGATTTGCTGTTTTAATCTGTGGTTGATAGGAAATGCTGCAGCTAATCCTAGGAAAGAAAGAGAAGGGCAGTCGTCTGTGAATGTATAAATTTCAGAGATGGGAGCTGGGTTTTAGGCTGTTACAGGGGCTTGAAACAGCCAGATTAGCTTTGAAAATTCAGCAGCCACGGGCTGTTTAAATGCAAAATCTGGCAAAAACTCTTGTTTCTATGGCAGCATATGAGGATTGTATTTCCTTTTATCAGTGGAGGGTTGCAACAGGACGGGGTTGGAAATAATTCCTCTACCAGAATACTCATATTTCAGAAATCTGATTGGTTTTGTCTGGTTTCCATCAGCAGAGCTTCCAATTCTCGGTTGTTTGCAAGTTTGGACATGTTTTTGTTTTACCATCCACAGTTCTATATGTCATGGAATCAAGAGTGTCCCTGCTGTCGTGAGAAGCCTGCTCATGAGACCACGAAGTTTTCATGGTGTTCTGCTACTACCAGGGGCAGAGTGAGTAGGAATAATGTGTGATAACTTCTCCTTGTTCCTACTTTTATCTTAGCCATTGGTCAGTGACAGGGAATCCTATTAAATTACTGTCACATATGAGCTTCTGGTATGCACTGAATTTCTGTAGCCCGTTACAGAGACTCCTGGGGAATGAACCCAGGATTTTTATAATTACTAAATTCCATTTACAGGTATCACTTGAAACACTTCCTGTAGAACATCAGCACACCGTCTTTCACTTAATGAAAGTGTAAAATCCCTGATGTCAGTGAAT